CTATCTACTAAAATGGATATATCCCTTCCCTTGATAGTTCCTGAAATTCTAATAGTTCTATGCCTTAGGTTTTCAGCTAGGGTGCTGATAGATATTTCCATCACCTCTTCGTCATCTGATTCAGGTCCTTTCTCCTCCTTAGTTTCATCCTCTTCTTCATCCACCAATATGAATTTCAATGCTCTATTTTTTCATACATGTCCAACCGTGTATTTCTCATCACACTTGTAACACAGCCCCAAGTTTCTCTTGGTTTGGAAGTCAGTAGGTGTGATGATTTTATAACAGTTTGGTGGTTTAATCATTTTTGGCCGTGGTTCTTTGGGTTTAGTTTCTTCGGGAGGTTTTAGAGGGTAAGGGTTTCACTTGTTAGGTGTGAAACTCTTAGGTTTTTGGTATTTGTTTATGGCTTGAATGGTAGATTCCTGTAAGCTAGCCACCTCAAATGCTTCAGCCAGTGTGTTGGGTTTCATCATTTTCACCATGGATTTAATCTCTCCTCTTAATCCACTGGTCAACACAGCAATATAGTAAGATTCAGGGACATGTAGTAAGGCTAACATTACCTGTGACTTCAGTTCTTCGAACTTCTCTTGGTATTCTTCTATGGAGCCCAGCTGTTTGATCTTACTGAAGATCTCTACTACCTCCTCTCCAGTAGTCTCTGCAAACCTTTTGCACAATGCTTCTGAAAACAAACTCCAACTAGCCCCTGGGTGATTGGTTATGAACCCATCAAACCAGATATCAACTTTCCCCTTCAGGTACATTTTTGCCACTCCCACTCTCAGTTCATCTGGGATCTGATGCAGTTGGAAATACTTCCTGGCTTTCCTCAGCCACTCCCTAGGTCCTTCTCCGCCAAAGTGGGGTAATCTATCTTAGGTAGCCTAGTGTTCCCCTTCAGTTCACCTCTAGAAATAACACTAGCCTCCATACTGCTGCCTCCTGGTGTGTAAGATTCACTCCCGAACTTCACATCACCCATAGATTCCTCCATCCATTTGTTCTTCTGGTTGGCTCTCAAATCAGTAGAAATTTGGGTCATAAATGCAACAACCTTCTCATACTTTTTTGTTCAAATCCAACATAGCATCTTCGATTTTCTCTTGCCTACTACTCAATACTTGAAGAGTTTGGTATGTAGATTCAAGTTTATTTCCCAATTGACCAGTAACTTCCTTAAAACTTGCACCCAAATCTGCCACTTCGAGATCCAATTTCTTCAAATTTTCATCAGTTGCTTTTGCCCTTGTATCCATTTCTAACTATTACCCAGTAATACACGTCTGCTCTAATACCAATTTGTGACGGTTCGAACTCCAAATTCAGCTCCTTCTTCACCGTAACACTTCTGCAACAGAAATCAGTTGAAACCAGCTGATTAACTAACAGCCCAACAAAGAGAAAATAGAAATGGGGGGATGATGCAAAATTGAGAATAGATGAGAGATAAATTGAATTGAAGAATCAATCCAATAATAACTGAATTTCCATAACAAATTTACGTGAATGAATCTGCAGAGAATATATAGCCAGTGTATATATACATTCCAGCAGAGAGAAAGCGTGATGGCAACAAAAATGAAGGTCAAAAACTTGGTAAAACAATTAAAATTTGGTAAAACAACACCGCCATTTCCCAATTCGAAAATCAGTTAATTTCGTTTCCAATTTCTTCGTTCTTCCTTCTGGTTTTCTCCTTTGCTGAGCTTCTTCTTCCCTTTCTACCCCAAGTGTTTCCTCCATAACATAAAGAAAAGACGAGTCTTGATATTCCTTAGCATTGTCAGTTCAAAGAATTTTAATGGTATGAGAGAACTGAGTTTTGATCATATTAGCAAATTTAATATAGGTTTGTGACAACTCAGATCTTTGCTTCAGTAAATAAATCCTCATCGATAAATAAAACAAAATATCGATAACCAGTCATAGATGAAATAGGAGGAGGTCCCCAAATACCAGAATGGACAATGCCAAAAGGGACATAAGAAATGGAGGTACTATTATTAAAAGATAAAGCTGGTTGTTTTGCAAGTTGACTCTACAGAAAATTAAAAGACTCAAATTTTGTATATCCTAACAGCCCACGGGAAATTAAAGGTTGAATTTTACTAGTCGAAGCATGACCAAGACGGAGATGCCATTGATACAATAAAGAACTAGAAGTTGCAGCAGCTGACACATTTTGTAACGGAACTTGGAGAGAGGTGGGCCCAAATAATCTCCCTACTTGCAACCCGTCCCAAGAATCTGGCTCATTTGCGGATCTTGTACCTGACAACCAGAAGGGAAAAAATAACAGTAAGACCGAGATCACATAATTGACCAACATAGATAAGTTTCAAGGATAAATTAGGAAGGTTAAGATATGAGGTCCATGCATGTCCAACACGAGAGATGTTCATCTTTTCACCATTTGCAGTGTGAATAGGAGGAATATATGATATAGGTGTGTTGGCGGATAAGATAGAGAGACCAGAGGTCATGTGATTACAACAAGCGGAATCAAAAAGCCAAGAAGATTTACCTAAAGTTACAGACATGGCAAAGGAAGAATGGGAAGAAATAACCAGTTGAGTAGGGCCTCAAGATCACTCGCAGCGATAAAAGTAGAGTTGTTAGAAGCAGTAGCAGCAAAAACATCAGAAGATCTAGACTTAGAGACATGATTAGACTTGGAAAGTACCCCTTTAGGTCTTGGTGGTCTAATGGGACAATTCTCAATTATATGACCTATTTCATGGCAGTATCGGCACTCAATAGTTGGACAATCAGAAGTAAGTGGCCATTTTGACGACAATGTCTACAAAACTTTGTCTCCAGTTTGTGGTAGGAGGGTCCAGAAAGAGTAGTGGCAAGAGCAATTTCAGATTGGAGGGACTTGTCCAGGTCAAAAGGAGGCAGAATCCAACATGGGCAAAGGATTACGATGCAACAAAGATGCCCTAACAGCTTCATACTCAGAGCAAAGAGCCATAAGAACTTGGATGAGATGAAGTGATCCTCACTGATTTTAGCTTGAGATAGTTCGTTCCAAATAGGTCGTACTTGAGCCAAAAAAATCATTTACAGATTGCCTAGCATTTTGTTTCAGATTATGCATAGTTGTGCACAATTTATATAATGAGCAAGGCCAATTGTTGTATACATGTTAGCTAGGAAATCCCGTATCTCTTTTGCAATATCATATGTTGCAAATTGAATATGAATCGAAAGAACAGAAGTGCTCAGGAACTAAATAATGATTTGATGATTCTTGATATCCCAATCTTCAAGACAACTTTCATATTTTTCATTAGTTTCATCTATCCCACGAGTGGGTTTATGATATCACCAGTGACAATGCGCCAAAGTTTGCGCCCAATAAGAAAACTTGTCATTCCTTGAACCCATAAATTGTAGTTGGAACCAATCAGAGTTGTGGGAATACGTTTGGAGATATCAATAACAACTGAAGGAGATATTTCTATTTTCTACACCATAGAGCCAGGAAGTAGAGGCTGAAAAAGTGAAGTCAGGAGGTGACGACGATCAATGATTTTTCAGAGGTTGAAGATTGGAGTAAAGGAAAAATTATAGAGAGGGCAGGCCAAAAGAAATTTCAGATGCACCTAAACTCTGATACAACGTTAGAAAGCAAAGAAGTTGTATGAAAATTTTTGAATTGTATTTATAATGCAAGGGGTAATACTTATACAAGAGAACCTATGCTATAAAAAGGGAAAGATACAATAAATATGTATATGATTTGAGAGTCAACCTCTATAGTTAAGCGTTAAGCAATCTGTAATCCCCATAATTAAGTAATCCCATTAATTATGTTACAGTCACACAAATTATGCTAACAAGCCTCACTAGAATGATTACATGAATTCACTTTTTTTAAATAACCCTTGAATCAATTATCAATCATCAACAGATTTTTATAGAACAAAAACACCAATTGTAATCGATTAAAATAGAAAATGACTGCTTTTTACTGTTGGATGAATTTGGTGGGAAACAGAGAGGATCAGATACATCTAATTCAAGAAAAAGTAGTGATTAGACGCACCTAATTTTCCCACAATTAGACTTTCTCTTTAATTTATTTATACAACTTTGATCGTCTCTCTACCCTTTCTCTCTCACACACTAACACAAACATGCATACTGCCACATGTAAAATGCGATAAAAGACCCAGATTTTACCTGATTTTCAAATGGGGTAGTAGAAAGGATGTTGACTCTCACTGTATCTCCTGAGACCTTGTGCTTTTAATAAATTAATGCATAAAACTAAAAGACATTCTGCATTTCATTTTCTCTCTCTCTCTTCACTGTTCATCTGGTAAGGATTGACAACTCTCCTCATTTATGATTCTTGATTAAATTTATGGGTTTATTTTGCTATTAGATGTTTATATTACTTGTTTTGATCTGTTTTCTGTTGTTAAGTGTTGATCTGTTTTCTGTTGTTAAGTTTGAGGACTTCTAATTTCTTGATTATTGATCATATTCTTGTTACTTCAAAATCTGATTGTTGAAATTTTTGTTCTTTATTGGGTACTATATTTAGAAGCTTTTAGCATTTCTGTACCTAACTATTTGAATAGATTTCTTGATTTTATAAGTTTCATATATTTCAACTCTAATTTTTTATTTTGCGATTCTCACAGTACATAGTTATACGGTATGGGTTAAGACTAAATTGGTCTGTAAAAATAAACAAGAATATACATCTATTTTCTTATTTTATGCCGTTGTGAATGTATCGAGTAAGGCTAACTTGGGCTTTAAAGAAGAACAAGAATATGCATTTATTCCCTTATTTCCTTTTTTTTATCAAGTGTATTGATTGTTCTTAGAAACTGAATGGTTTGTTCATGTTGATGCATCATGTATCTGTCTTTGATTTTGTGCATAATCAGAAAATAAAAAGTGAGAATATTTGGCACTGTGAGGTTTGTTGACTCTAAACAGTGTTGCTTTATAGAGTCAGCAATTTTAGTTTGGTGATGGAGTCGTTATGCTATGCTTTTGAGGGGAGAGGACTGCTGTTTTCAGATGATATAGAAACACTGGGAGATATGAAACCGCTTTCTGATTTCGATAAGAATATGTTAGTTCCTATTAGAGAAGGAGATGGGGGAACAGAATTTACAGAATTTGGTTTGCCTGATATGACGAGAAATTTGCTTCTGGATGGCCCGGCCTGGAGTTCAACTGCAGAGATGCATGATAATCCAACATCTACTAATGCTTTTAACTTGTTTCCGGGGGAAATGGAATTGGGATCGAGATTTTCGAGTTCTTCCATTAGAGCCAAAGACAAGACAGTGCCACAGATTAATTTGAAGGCGGAGAATTTGGCTGCTAGGAGAGAAATCAATAGAACTCCAGTTTCACAGGAAAAGTCCGTCATGTCTTCCCCACAGTCCCAGTTACCTGCAAAAAGATCTGTGTGTAAGAATTTGCATTCACGGTTGCCTGTCTGCCAAGTGTATGGTTGCAACAAGGATCTAAGTTTCTCGAAGGACTATCACAAAAGGCATAAAGTATGTGACGTTCACTCAAAGACAGCTGTTGTTATTGTTAACAGCATCGAGCAAAGGTTCTGTCAGCAATGTAGCAGGTGGATATATACCTTCTGGCTTCATCCTGTTTCATACAGTCATTATAATTGCACTTTTTCTTTGTATTGGGGATTAAGTTATTGTGGTTGTTGAATTTTGCAATTTACCTATGTATCGTTTTGCTAAATGTTTCAGTTAAGAAAATTATCTGTGTCTGGATATGCCTATGAGAACAACTGAAAAACTTAACGATGGCCAGAGCACACGACCGTCTTTTTAAGATACCTCTCCCAACGTAAAGATTGAGCTAAAGAAAATGAGTGAATGATCTGTGTGGTTTCAGGATGGAAGTTAGTATTTGGGGGCTTTTACTCCTAAGTTAGCTACTATCTAACTGGTCAACATAACAGAGTTCAAAATTAGTTCATTAGAGTATATTTCTGGTAGGAATTTGAAATAATCATTTTGCGTTACAGGTTTCACAAGCTGGAAGAATTTGATGATGGTAAACGAAGTTGCCGTGAGAGCCTCGCAGGGCACAATAAGCGTCGACGAAAGCTTCAACTGGATACTCATCTCGGTACGAAATTAAGACGTGGCATTTGTTTAGAGTATTCTAGTTGTTTCGATAAACCAAGTTCTCAATTTTGCCTCCATTTGGCAATATCTGTATGTTATCAAACTTGATTTTCATCTATATTTTCTAATGGATCCACGTGTAATATCCACTTATCTCTCACTCATTTCTATCTATTTATAAAATAAACCGTTTATAAGTTCTTCCCAAACGGAGGCTTAGTTAGTGGAAGGACTTGAAAAAGCAATATCATATATATCCCGTCGTCTAAAATGTCCATTTTGCAGGTTCCTCGTTGTTGGGAGCAGATTTATCAAGATCGTCCTTTCCTTTATCGGAAAATCTTCCCGGTGGCTTCTTTCCTCAACGAATTGATGAGCCGAACAACAACTGCAGCAAGCGTATCAAATATGAAGGGGAGGCGAATCAAATATCTGAATTAGCCATGCCCATGGAATTCTGGCAATCGTGTGCTAATTCGTTTCGATATCCTTCCAAAAACTGTCTCGATTCACCAGATATTCACGAATTATCTCAGTTCTCAAATTCTGGTAGTGCTTTCTCTCTTCTGTCACACAACTTTTTGAGCAATTCTGCAGGCATTCCAAAGGCTTTTCCCGTTATCTTGGAAGAAAAAAATCCTGCTAACTGCAAAATGGATAAAAAGCTCGATGAACTTTTTCAAGAATCAAATGCTATGACTGCTAAGAATTATTGTTCTCCCGAAGCTGCAGAAACAATCGATTTGCTCGAGTTGTCATTTCATCTGGAAAGGGTAGAGCAGCAGAGGCATTCTGCACAAGTGAAGCAGGAAAATGATATGTTCTGCTGCTCCACAATTACTTAAAAGAGTAAAACTGCTGCAGCAAAATTTGTAAAATGTTTATTTCAAAATGAACGGTTGTAGATAAAGAAAATAAGAGAATTCGGCGAGAATTTGGACGATAAACTGAGTACACTCGGAAGAGAACAAAGAGCAACAGACTTCGCTTCGATCCCTGCTGCTTGAAGCTCGATCCCCTCAGCAAACGCAATGTATAGGCGGTTCCGAACGATCGATGGATGGTATCCGTAGGGGCTATTCTCTATGGGCCCTTAAAGTATGCTTCTTTTCTTTTGCTGATCATGTTCATATCAGTCTATTATGCGACTCTACATTTAGCATTAGGGTAGACCGAGTGTTTATTCAATATTCAATAATTATGCATAGCGCTAATGTTTTAACACATGACATTAAACGATATGTCCAATTAAAATGGTCTCATATATATCGACATTTCTTTGGTCGTACAGTTTAATGTTAACGTTTTGTCGCTAAACATTTATTCTAGTTTTAATGAGCTAGTTATGCAAGTAAAACGCTAGAATCAAGAAAATTAAGAAAACTAAACCAAGTACAATAATTTTGAAAAGAAATAAAAATTAGCCTGAATACAAATTGTCTAAAATGCCCTCCTGTAATTCATTTTATTACCCTATGCCGGTATGTCCTATCTCTCTCAATCAGTCAAATGTGTCCCTTTCTTTCCAGTAAATACCCTTTTTTTATCCCTAAACAATCTGTTATTATGAGTACTCATTTTACCAAATGGACTCAAAGAATTTGTACATTGGGAAAACATTATGTAATATGATTATTAAGGAATTAAATTTATTATCCTTTTAACTATTTCATGTGAACTTCGATATGTCAATATAATTTTGGAGTGAGATGTCAAAAATTCTGTACGCCTCGCTGAAGTTTTTGAGGTGTCATCTCTAAGGTCAGAATTATTGTAAAGTTTTAAAATTCATGTAACGGGACAATTGAGGAGACAACACTTATGCACTCGTACTTATTAGCCAATAATGAAATATTGTTTTAGGTCACGTGACCTTGCAATTCATTATGATTTCATTTTTTGTGCAGTGTAACTTGTGCACAAATATTTATAATAGATGGAAATGAAATTGAAATCGAGACATTTATGTTCTTTAACGTTAAACTACTCCATATAAAAATTTAAGATGTTAACAATTGGTTTTACAATTTGTAGGTCTCTGTTCATATAATTAAGGTGGAAGTTGGATTGACAAAATGCTCCTCTTGCATTGCCTATGGAATAGAGGCAAGGATGGAAACATAGTCCTCACCCCTAAACTTCCCAACTTTTATTTTTTATTTTTTATTTAATTATATTGAAAAATTAAAAATGACATTAAAAATAAATAAATAAACGGTAATAGAAATGGGAGTTTAGTTCTATCCCCTCCTAAAAAATTCCGACCAGACGGGACACAGAGGGCGCCCCGCCCACAACCTTGATATGAACCATTCCAGTCCAGAACTGACATTATTCCGATCAAAAGGGTATGCACAGAGGCATACCAGCTCAAATAAGGGGAAAAGGGAGGACAAAAACACAAGTAACATTAAATTTTACAAGGAAAACCATAAAAGAAAACTAAATGATCCTGTTTATACAACAGAAAAAGTTTACACAATTAGCCCCTAGCTCCTATCAAGAAAAGAACTGTAGATTCGAAGACACGAGTACAGAAAATATTGGAACAATTAGGTCAGAAATTTAATCGATGATAACTGGGCATGCAAAATTTGATGTATAAAGGCTGAGTGGCCAGCAGCAAGATAAATCTGGGGCAAGAACTTGCGATTTCCCAATTCTAGTTCAATGATCGCAGGCATAGCACCTCATCTCAAATTTGATGGGTATGAAAAGAAACATCCATACATTTGCAGTGCCAGAAAGGATGATATGAACAAAGAAGACAATGCTATGCTTCAAGGGTATAAGCAGAATAACGTACACGAAGCAGAGGATCAGCTTCATGAACTTGCAGGCACCAAAGTTCTGTATTCTTTTTCAGTGATTGATTTTAAGCCATTCGGATCAGAGATGACATCTTCCATTTCTTCTTTGGGAGGGAAACCAAGTGATCGTGCCTGCAACCATTGGTCTATAACGCCACAGCTCATTGCATACTTGATGGTGGTTTCCAAGTATCCTTTATCAGTGATACGATGTGGCTGAACAGTCAACATTCTCATTATACCTGAACCGGTGATGAACTTAAAATTAGCTCAAGAAGCTTCCATTTCAAAAACAAAATTGACCTACTTCTATTATTTTAATACAAAATGCAGACTCCGAAGAAAATGCCATGCCTTATAAACACATGTAACTGTGAAAGAAAAATAGCATGTCAGAATATACTACGCTACGTGTAATAGCATGAGAAATCTGGAATTTTAATTCATAAAAAATATTTTGTAATTAGTGGAAAAGAACAGAGAACTTGCGAGCTATCTAAAAACTCCAAGATGCAGCAACCACATGTCTAGGATTAGAAGAGAAAACAGAAATGCTGGGGTTTCCATGCACGATAATCACGTGTCATATAAAAGTAACTTTCGCCGTAGGAACGAAAATTATGCTAGTCTAAGATTAAAAATTACAAGTACTTTACAACAGTGACCTGATTTAAGTATAAATCTGTCCCTTATGTCAAGTAACATATTAAGGAAATGCATCTCAGAAAGAAATGTGTGACATTACAATATTTTGTTTTGGATGGCACAATACACTATGCTTTCAACACATTTCGAGACATTCACATATAGCCTAAAGTGTACGATGACTTTATACCTCTTCAAGAGTTGGTGGTAGTTTGATAATTCAAATGACTGACCAAGCCAAGTCCTCACATTGATTAGCAATTCAACTAATTGCCATGCAAAAGTAGTAAAATCTTTATCATCAATCTATGTACATTTTTATTCAAGCAATAGAACATGAAATTTCCTCTAGGTGAAAGAGACTGACTCCAGCAGCTTATAATTATTTGCATGAAAGATTTCTTTCATCTTGTAGCTAAAAGTTCATTGAAAATCACCCGACCCAAAAAAGAACAAGAAATAGGCAACACAGCTTTACCTGCAACAATGCCGTCTCCAGATGCAGACATATCAGAAGTAAAAGGAGTGAGCGGTGCGTCCTCCATTCCATTTACAGCACCATCATGTTCTCTAGTATAGTAATGAATCTTAGAAGTCCCATTTGTCACAAACAAAACCTTGAGATTTTCATGCCATAGCCGAGCAACCACTTCTGGTTCATAATGAGTGAACTTAGATCTATCATTGTCTTCCGTATCAAATTTTTCTGATGGCTCAATTCCACAGAGAAATTCAAGTTCTTGTTTAGTGACCTCAATAATATCTGCAAGATTCCATGCTTGCAGTATGAAAGCCTTGGTTTCTTCACTAGATTGCCAAAGAGGTAATGGAAGGTTGAGATCGTAAAAGATAACCCCTCCCAGCTTCTTTGAGATTCTGATGGCTTGTAATGCAGTTAATCTCATATTCCGGTCAAGAAGAGAAAATGTATTGATATATAACATTTTTGCCTGCATGATATGTTTAGCAACTGATCAACAAATGCATAAAGTATGCCTGAAACATGACTTTAATTAGAAATTGTTATTATAAAGGATAAATGCAAATAATTTGAATTCAGTCGTTTGAAACTTAATTGAGACATGGATAAAGATTATGCATATGCATGAGCACATTAATGAAAATAGTAGTTTCTAATTGCTTAACAGAAATACATCTATATGTACACTATCACTTTTAGCAATGCCTTCTATATTTCACAACTTCTCGAAATCCATCCTATCTTCTAATTTTCTGCCTCCAATCAAACAACTTAAAAAGGTTAAACAGACATGCCTATAAAGTTAATGAAGACGTACATAAATAGTAGGATGCCAAAGAAAAAGAGAGAGAGAAAACTCTTTTTTTCAAATTGAAGCTATGGTATCTCACCTCTTTCAACACATCAATGTTGATATCAGACCTTGATAAACAATCCTCTGCACATGGTCTGACACAAGTCATCCGCAAGCCACCCCTCTTACCTATTTTCATATGTGATACAGCTGTTTTTCTTTTACCATCTATATGAATTGATCGTGTTTGAACCTTGTTGCTATTCAAGTAATAAATCAAGGCATGACCAAAGGCGTCATCACCAAGTTTGCCCATGAAGGCAACTTTACCTCCCAAACTCGCAAGAGCTACTGCAACATTACTTGAACATCCTCCAGGAGCCCGAACAAATTTCTCAGGGGCCCACATTGCATCCTTCTTCCGTTCATGCATTTCATGGTCTAGAAGCCTGTTGGCTCGCCTACCAAAGGGTACAAAAGCATGCTGCACTGCGCCAAAGCAACAAACAAGAGGTGGCCAGCCGTATGTGAAGCTAATATCCTCTCCTTCATCTACATCAAACTCTAGTTCCTGCTCATTATCATCATCCAAATTTGCAAGATATGTGTCCCCCTCATTATCACTATATTCAGTCTCACTTCCTTGACTTTCTACTTTATCAGCCGGTTTCTTAGTTCTTCTCCTTCTTGTCACTTTCTTTTCAGTTGCTTCTTCCTCCAACGTACTAGAGGCAGAGGCAGAGGCAGATGCAGCTGCAAATCATGTAATTGCAAATTTGTGGTTTAAATTTTATTTACAAATGAGTTGCAGAAAGTGCCAAAAAATATAAAAATTAAACACTTGCTTATGATAGCTCTACAAAGGCTGCACCTTTTTTTCGAGTTCTAGTTTTGGATTTCTTCACCTCCGTGTTTGAGCCTGAAGTCGTTTCAGTTTCCTCATCTGTTAGACTACCATTGACAACAGAAATTTTATCCGGAGTCTCCAGTGTTCCTTTTTTTCTGCTCCTAGCAGAGGCTCGTTTAGTTGTTTGACGTTTCTTCTCTCCTACAACTACTGCTTCTCCATCCAATGTCTCCTGAGCTAACGACTCCAAACTTTTTTTCTTAGAGACTGATGTAAGTACCCATTCACTCTTCAATCTAAAATCTGGAAATTTCACCAAGTTTATATAGGGAAAGAAATGGCCATTTGGGTGCCACCTGCATAAATTGCACAGGAAAAAATGGAAGATTTAAACAGACATTCATTTTTGTAATCCACAGTACTGAGTTCCAACCTTTCCCAAATCATCATTATCACAGCTATTGCCGGGATTCACTTCCAAATTTCAATGTTCTATTTAATTTTCAATATTATTATTAAAGAATCTAAACACATAAACATACAGACTCACACAAAAAAGAGAATTTAGCTTCGTAAGTTAATCAATTCCAAGAATGATAATAAGATTCAGAAGTATAAAAAATTTTCTTTAAGATGGAATAAAAGATAAAGAAATAGAACCTGGGCAGTGATGAAAACTGTATAGAAGGCAGAGAAGCCATTGATAAAGAGCTCAAAGAACACAGCAAGCCCAGTGGAGTCTGGGGTTTAAGGGTGTCTCTGAGGTACTGAAGTGTACAAGAGAAACTGGATAACTTCTGGTTTTCCCCAACTGGGGTTTTAAGATTTTACTCGAAAATTGAAATATTAATGTTTGTTATTAAATGACTAGTATGCCCACCAATCACCAAAATAATTTCATTTCTACTTAGCTGGCTCTATTTCCTCAAATTTATTTTCAACTACACATTCTCTTATTAAAATAATTTTGCACATCAATTTTTTTTGAAAAAAAATCTATTTTTAGCCGTGCATTCTCTCAAAAATATACTTTTTAGACAAATATAATATCAAAAAAATCTACTCAACAAGATTTTTATATCATACAATCAATTTAGGTGACACTATATGAATTAAATAATAAGTCAAAGAGAAGTGCTGCACGCACGGAAAAAATTCCACAGAATTGCAACAGAATACTCACACATGGGTGGGACCCGCACATTTTTTTTCTTTTTAAATACACGGTGGGACCCCCATTTGTCTCTATTTTGTTGCATTTCTGTGAATTTTTCTGTACAAATTGATTTCTCCGAAGTCAAAATAATTGAGCCCAGTACTTTTACACTTAGGTCCTGTTTGGTTCACATTATTTTTTTCATTCTTATTTTTCTACTAACTATCAACCACATTTTTCAATAAAATAATATTTTTCATCACATCAATAACTTTTCCTTCTTTTTCAACCACATATTCATCATCACATCAACAGTAAAAATTCATTATTACCTTTAAAATGTACAACAAACTGGGGCTTACTTGAACGTATCATTTCTAATGCCACGTAAACTACTTTATCCCCATTTGGCCCCATTAAAATTTTAATATATTTTTCTCTTTTCTTTTCAACCACACAATATCTAATAAAATAATATTGTACGTAAATCGAAAACTTTTCTTCTTCAACTACGTATTCTCAAAAAAAACACATTATTCCAAAAATTTAAATATCAAATAATGGGGACTAAACGGGGATTCCACCCCTCTATTCCACCCCTCTAATTACTAAGTGGGATTCAAGTATTTCCCCCCAAGGCAACAGGCTCTCTAAAAGCCTTCCCTTTTCGATCATCATGGGGTTATTAGTAGGTAAAAAAAAAAATTTATAAATCGATTTTAAAAATAAATTCCCTGTACATGATTGTAACTATTGAATTAGATTGGGCAACCTTTTTAGAGACCTTGTTGCTAAAAAATTGGTTCTATAGAATTGTGTAAATACGGGAAATCAAATACATACTCTTCTGAAGATGAATGGACTGTAATTAAACGCCTATAATACAGAACTCTTTCCTTACAAGTCGATTTTACAGGAAACTCAAGGGAGAGGGAAAGGGGGTTGTGCCAATTGGTGAACTGTAAATTGAGGCCTCAGCTTATATTGCTGAAAATGCATACTTCAGTTTCTTTCATGCAATACTTTTACACAGTTTACGAATATAAAATTAACAGCAAATAAGTTCTTAAAGCCCAGTGAACACAACCCCCAGCTATATGTGCAATTACATGACCAAGTGTTTGATGACCATAAAAGTAAAAACAGCATATGTTTACACCACAAATTTCACATTATTCAACTGAAAATGACACTTGGGCAGGCTAGTATGTCTTTCATTTGCTGCCACCACCAAATAGGTAGTCCAAGGAAGAACCGCCTCCAGGAGCTGCATGGACCTTTGTCGATGGCCGATCCTGCATTAAATGAATAATTCTGATTAGCACCGTGTACAAGTATTTGATGAGTGATTACAAATTGTAGGTAAGTGATGCAAGATTTCATGGAGCATAAAGAAGCAAAGGCATTTCTCATAAGTCACACATAATCTTCCACTTTCTCTCTCTTTTTCGTTTTATTTTCCCCTCACATTGTTGGGGATCACTGAACCAGTTTCAAGTATTTAGGTCTGTTTTAACAGGGAATAAGGGATGTAATGCATAGTATTAGAATTGGTTGCATTAAATAGAGCAGTTAGAAATAATGCACGAATTGTGCGACAGGAAGAGGATGTAATGCATAGTATTAGAATTGGTTGCATTAAATAGAGCAGTTAGAAATAATGCACGAATTGTGCGACAGGAAGACCCCTGCGCAGTTAAAAGGCATACAGAATAATTAATAAACCTAGTATGATTTATGGTAGTGATTGTTGGACCATTGAAAGAATGTCTCTAGGATGTATATAACGAAAATGAGTTAAGTTGGATGTATGATCGTACTACAATGGATAAGAGAGATAACAAGAATTTTTATCAACAACCTAAGGTGGCAATGATTGAGTACAAATTAAGGAACAGACAACCTGGCTAGTTCAGGCATATCTATTTGTTCATAAGAGTGATCAATCTCGAACAACTTTCCAAAAGGGTAGACTAAAATTACCATTAGTTTTTATGGTTGCTAAGTATCTAGTTGCTTTAGATTTTATAATAGATGAAGTAACTAACAATACAAAGCAGTGAAAAAGGATTCATGTAGACACCATGAATTAAATGGGTAAATATGGTTTACTTTGTTGTTGAAGTACTAGGTGATTTCTTAACTACCAATTCTACACCAAACATGGTATTCATCTCTTTCACGTATCAAAGTGAAGGTGCTCAAAACATCAATTCATCTTTATGAAAGTAATATCAGCAAAATAATGAAGAAAATAACACCTTTTTACTCTGAGCTTAAAGTTTGGTATACTTGCGAAAGTTTATTTAAGAAAACAAACTAGACAGTCACATTTATTGGAATGGGAACCGATCAGAGGGGCAGAAAAATTGTTTGTTATTATATTTGTTGAAAACAGTTAAATTCAAATGTCTTGAGATCCAATAAACTCAGGCCTGACGTGAAGTCAGGTCGTGAACATACCTTCTCTTTTTTCTAGTCTGTTGTCTTTGTGGCAAATTTGATAATTGAATAAGTTTAGAATTTTTAATATGTATACAAATAAAAAATGAAAAAAAAATCACCAGAGTTGAATAGAGCCCAATCGTTGATCCCAAAACAAACTTATCTATATCAGCAACTCAAGTCCAGGTCGATGCAAGCTCAGTTTCTAGATAGTTAAGTTGAGCATACACAGAAACAGCTCCAAAATCTTGACACCAACCTCAAAACTCAAAAGGCTAAAGTCTGCTCATTTTCAACTATAGAGATAAGGTCACATGTTGAATGTAAGAAAATGATAAGCATCGTGTGATTTAGACTCGTTATGCAAGCTTTTGACTGGTGGATGTTTACCGACAGCACAGTATAAAATTAAAAAATATGATGGGAGAACCTATTAAACATTTTTACAATCAGCAACTTGTTTCAATTAAGACATACCGTAATAAAATTGGCAGTGTTTTGACCATCTGCTCTTAAGTAGTTTGCAGTGCTACTATGAATGCCTGCAGGAATCTGCTTACTAACATCTGCACTTTGATAAGCAGCAGCATTAGGTTTTTGGGGAAGCTCTTTGCTTGCTGGCCTACCTTCACTTGGAGGAGCTCGGGTTTCTGTGGCAGGTTTTGGTGCCTCACCATCCCCAAACAAGTAGCCCAATGAGCTCTGTCCTCCACCACTGCTAACTCCACGTCCCATATCTATTCAAACTTGCCTGGCGATGCAAAATAGATGAAACTATACCATTGATATCAAAAACAAATCATCAAGTTGTCAGTATACCAAAGATGGGAACAAATTCATCATTTTGACAGCAACAGGAACATATTCCTGTTTTGTTTAGTATAGGCTAATAGCAATAGTATGTGTAGTTTCTTTTCCAAGTAAACCAATCCGCTCTGTAGATAAAATGCACAGCTAGATCCATAATTTTCAACACATAGGAGATTTTCAGCTATAAGAGATCATATCTTAATTAGCTGAAAGAGAACGATGTCAACTCGAACTATAATCTTCAACGCTCAAAGAAATGCAAACAATGGCCCAGATACACCAAACCAATGGTATGAGTTACTACAAAGTTCTATTTCTCTACGACAGGAATTCATTTCTTTAAGCTTGTGAAAACCATATTACAAATTCAGGCGCCTATTAGACTAAGGCATGTCCATGACTCAAAAATTAAGTGCTAGAGAACTCATTATGAAATTCCAGGGAAAAAAAAGGGACCATCTTCCATATGCTACGATTTATGTATTTTTATATGTTCATTACATCTTTATAAAGAAGAACAGGCATCAATTGTTTATTTGCTAAGCACATGCAAATGGAGGGGGTGGAGTTCTAATTATAACAAAAAGGAACCACTTCAAAATGACCAGATAAGAGGTTGGAATGGGAAAAAATAAAGGATAAAAAATGTAAAGCACCCAAACATTAGAATTCGCAAAGAGAAAGTAGCATCAAATATTCTTCTATGATGTATTTGATATGGAACTATCTGTCCCTATGCTTTCTATCATAGTCCATTCCAAGCAAGAATAACCATATAAACTATATGCACAATCATTCATAGTTTATACAGATAATAAAATGAAATTATATTACTGCCATATATTTTCTTTATTCAAATCTTAACAGTAAAAATTATGAATGTTTGGTAAGAATGTGGTACTCTTAACAATGATATTTTTTTTTTTTTTGGGCAGAAATCTACACTGAGATGGTTTTTATTCCAACTCTCAAACCTAGTGGAGATCCTAATTATTAGAACTTGCAAAGAGAAAAAGGAGCATCGTTTGAGGAACTAACTCCACCTATGCTGGTTTTCATCATCAGTTGCATGTAACAGGTTAAAAACCAGCCTAAAACATTGTCAGATCCTATGATATGGAACTACTACAATCCTCCCCATGAAGCAAGTAAAAGTTACAAAGTACTCGTGTTCCTCTTCCCAAGATTATTTAGGCATTGTCACGTGGAAAATTAAGAACCAGGGCAAAAATTAGGACATTACAAATCATTTACTTGTGTGCTTAGCTTTTACATTGCAGGTGTGGAAGC